TATGAATCCTGTGTGAATGAAGGGCACAGACGCACGGTTTTGTTTACTGCACACATACTGCAGCGTGTGACGTCTCACTAAATGAGGACATAAATACATGAACAACATCTCCAGAACTGCTCTGAGTAAAAAAATGTCAGCCTTCATTTTAATAAAACTAGCGTAATATCATACACACAGAAATGTAAAGGTACTCACGGCAACCCGTCAAAATAAAAGTTCGGTTTAACTTGAAGACTCTGTGCCAGAAATATATTACTGTTGTTCAGTAGAATGCACATAATACTTCTACTACTAAAATTATTAAAACTATTTTTTAAGGAATAATCACACAACATTTCTTCAATGTTTTAATAAAAAAAAATTTAAAAGTAAAATTTTCAGTAATTAAAAGATAATTGAAAATAATGTTATATACTTTCATTTTCAACCAGAAAACTGTAAATACACAACACAGAATTTCTGAGGGGGAAAAAAAGAACAATTCAAAAGGCTATTTTAAGAATAAATTTTAATAAATTAGGTTGTTTTATGCATTCAAATAATTAGAAAAAAATCTAACGGAATTTGGGAAAAAATAAAATGGAATTTGGGGAAAAAATAATGGAATTTGGGAAAAAATAAAATGGAATTTGAGGGGAAATAAAATGGAATTTGGGGGAAAAAATAAAATGGAATTTGAGGGGAAATAATATGGAATTTGGGGGAAAATAAAATGGAATTTGGGGGAACAATAAAATGGAATTTGAGGGGAAATAAAATGGAATTTGAGGGAAAATAAAATGGAATTTGAGGGGAAATAAAATGGAATTTGGGGGAAAATAAAATGGAATTTGAGGGGAAATAAAATGGAATTTGGGGGAAAATAAAATGGAATTTGAGGGGAAATAAAATGGAATTTGAGGGGAAATAATATGGAATTCGGGGGGAAAATCTAATAGAATTTGGGGGAAACAATAAAATAGCATTTGGGAAAAAATGATGGAATTTGGGAAAAAATAAAATGGAATTTGGGGGGAAAATAAAATTGAATTTTGGGGGAAAATAAAATGGAATTTGGGGGAAAATAAAATGGAATTTGAGGGGAAATAATATGGAATTTGGGGGGAAAATCTAATGGAATTTGGGGGAAACAATAAAATAGCATTTGGGAAAAAATGATGGAATTTGGGAAAAAATCAAATGGAATTTGGGGGGAAAATAAAATGGAATTTGGGGGGGAAATAAAATGGAATTTGGGGAAAAAAATAAAATGGAATTTGGGGAAAAAAATAAAATGGAATATTTGGGAAAAAATCTAATGGAATTTGGGGAAAATAAAATGGAATTTGGGGAAAATAAAAAAATGGAAATTGGGGGGAAATAAAATGGAATTTGGGGGGGGGGGTAAAGTGGAATTTGGGAAAAAAAATAAAACGGATATCATAGGGCCCTATTCACCTGAGGTTTCTCCTGCAGGTTTCCGCATGGCATCGCTCATCTGGCGCAGTACATTCACGACCGCGGCCTGAAGCTGGGCATCTACGGAGACATGGGCACTCACACCTGCGGCGGATATCCAGGAACCACGCTGGACAAGATCGACACGGACGCGCAGACCTTCGCCGACTGGGGCATCGACATGCTGAAGCTGGACGGCTGCTACTCAAACTCATCCTACCAGGAACAAGGCGAGACGCTTTAACATCACCGTTCAGTCACAGACACGGGGTTAAAATCACATTTACACAAACAAACAATAATACCGTATATATCCATACAGAACAAATCATGTGTCTCAGACTCTTTAACAGTTTGTGGCACATGCTCAAACACTCAAATCATCTTTTATTAAACATATACATTTGTACTGAAATTGGTTTATGTACTAATATATCACTATTTTTTCTATTCTCTGAAAAATTAAGTAAATGACAACTCAAAAACAATATTTATGGAATATTAAAAATTTAATATATTTAAACATTTGTAATATATTTTTTAAATATTTTATTCTGCATTACTTGTATTTTATATTTTTATTTTATTCTATATTATGCTTTAATTTGTCCTATTTTCCATACAATGAAAGTAAATAACGACTCTAAAAACAATTTTAAAGGAACAGTACTTACTTTTTAAATACTTGTAAATATTTTATTCTATGTTATTTGTATTGTATGTTTTTCATTTTATACTTAATTCTATATTATATATATTTTTTTCCCTATTTTCTGTACAATGAATGTAAAATATATTTTATATATTTTTATTATATATTATATTTTATTAAATTTTTAAAAAAATGTTTTATGTTGTAATCTATATTTTTTACATTCTTAGTTTATTATATATTTTTTACTGAGCTCAAAATAAGTTTACGATAATAATGCGTTTGAAAAAAAAGCAATAAACAGATTATTGTGCCGTTAATAGTAAAATCTATATATTGAATGTGTTGAATAACATTATTAGTCTTTTCTTGCTGAGAGAGTTGACGTTAAATTAAATGCCAGATACAGGATATTAACAAAACAGCAATTATACCCAGAAAAAAGATGCATGATGCAGGACTTTTAATTCATTATAAAGAAGCCCAAAATACAGCAGGACTCTTATTATGAAACACATATGCTTTAGTACTTCCAGCTGCTCATTCAAACAGATCAAATATGCATCTTACAACCATCTACAATAATTACAAAATAAAAATGATAGAATAAATACAAATATGTCACAAATATGTCTTCATTCATATTCAGCAGTAGATCATAAGCAATCTGTTGGCAGCATTGATTGCTTAATAATCACACTAGGTCATATCACGATGGAGACTTTTATTCATTATCTTCTGTCATTAATTAAATCCAGGCTACCCAATGATGTCAAAGGCCCTGAACGCTACGGGCCGTCCCATTGGCTACTCCTGCAGTTGGCCCGCCTATCAGGGTGGCCTCCCGCCGAAAGTGAGTAGAAAGCAGGAAGTGGAAGTGATGTAGAGCTGCACGATTCTGGATAAATTGAGAATCACAAATTTTTTTTTGTGGGTATTTGAATCTTTTTAACGATTAATCGTGCAGCTCTAAAGTGAATTAATGTAATGTAGCAACATGCTAGTAACGTACTAATCATGCTAAGAGCATGCTAGCAACATGCTAACAACATGTTAATTATGCTAGAAGCATCCTAGCAAAATGCTAACAACAAGCTAACTACAGTACATGCTAATCATGCTAGAAACATGTTTAGCAAACATGTGAACTGCATGCTAATCGTGTTAACAACATGCTAATCATGCTAGAAACATGTTTAGCAAACATGTGAACTGCATGCTAATCGTGTTAACAACATGCTAATCATGCTAGAAACATGTTTAGCAAACATGTGAACTGCATGCTAATCGTGTTAACAACATGCTAATCATGCTAGAAACATGTTAACTTCATGCTAATCATGCTAGCAACATGCTAATCACTCTAGAAACATGATTAGCAACATGTTAACTGCATGTTAATCTTGTTAACAACATGCTAATCATGCTAGAAACATGCTAACTTCATGTTAACAAAATGTTAATTGTACTAGAAGCATCCTATCAACATGCTAACAACAAGCTAACTACAGTACATGCTAATCATGATTAGCAACATGTGAACTGCATGCTAATCGTGTTAACAACATGCTAATCATGCTAGAAACATGTTAACTTCATGCTAATCATGCTAGCAACATGCTAATCACTCTAGAAACATGATTAGCAACATGTTAACTGCATGTTAATCTTGTTAACAACATGCTAATCATGCTAGAAACATG